CAGGGTTCCCACACCTTGGTTAACTTCAAATCCAGGTCCAATACCCTCAAATTCAAGGACTTAATGTGGGGACACATTTCAAGTGAGAGCAATGTTACATCGTGTTACCTTGTAAGATACAGTGTTACAGTTTTCATGTGTCAAACATGCATATACACAAATATGCAAAACATTTTTTTTTTTTACATTTTTCTGGCCATATGACAGAGATCTGATATTCTAATTGTCGTCGAATATTCGGTACAGCATATACTGTATTCTAAAATGATCTGATATTAACTTTTGCATGGATTTTATTGAAAAGAGTTTAGGCTCATGTAACCAGAAGATTTAGGATATATGAATATGCTTTTCATACACAATATAATAAGTTTTCCTTGCCTCATGGGTTTACATTATCTTAACAAGCAAAGCAATTCAACATTAATTTCACGGTGTGTCTGTGAAACTTTGAGGTACCATCATAGTAGGTTTCATGCGCGCGTGAACGTAATGGCAATGTACAACACAAAGTACCTCACGCGGGAAACACTTAACGTAACGCGTAAATGCACGTAACTAACATAAATCAAGCAAGCTAGTTTGCATAGGCCACGAAGTGTTGGCGAAATAATACATTAGCGGACCAGAGGGAATAATATGGATTTTTTTCCAGAAAACTTCTTGCACAAAATAAATTCAAGCACTTTCAAAGACCTGTATCTATGCATGTTTATTTTCAAAAACTTTGCAGGGCCTTGAAAAAAAAAAACAACATTTCAGATTCAAACTTTCAAGGACCCGTAGGAACCCTGTTCACAATAGTACTGTACTTAAAAACAAAAACCAAACAAACAAACAACAAAAAAACCTTGGTGACCAAGACTACTAGTTTTTTTTTTTTTATAAAAACAAAGAACATCTTAGAGACAAAACTTTAACAGTAGTGTATGCATATTTCTAGGAACTTATTTTATTGTAATACAATAGCTAATTATAAAATAGATTTTCCTACACTTTCATGTAAGATTCTATTCTAAGTGCGATTTTAGAATATTAAGTGCAGGTGGGGGCTTACATTATTCTTGACGTTGGGTTTCATGTTGATGGTGCCAAAGATCTCCTCTCCGGTCTTAACCGTCAGATAGTCATCAAGGTAGAACACAGTCTGCTTCCAATGAGTGTAAGGAGACTCTGGGCCTAAAAGACAAATGCACTTTGTTTTTCAAGGGCTCATTTATAATTTAAAAAACTCATGGTGAAAAATGTGGTAGAGAGAGGGGAAGAACAAAAACAGCACTCACTAGTAGAGAAGCCTGTCCTTTTGTGGCAGCGAGTGAACTCTATGTTAAAGTAGGTTACCAGCGCATGAATGTAGTCATTCCAACAAAGACAGCACTCACTAGTAGAGAAGCCTGTCCTCTTGTGGCAGCGAGTGAACTCTATGTTAAAGTAGGTTACCAGCGCATGAATGTAGTCGTTCCTTTTCACCTGCAGGCAGAAAGGTGACGTGAAGGACAGGTCCTCAATCTTCACTGTGTAGATGTCCACCTCCTAATGAACCAAGAGAATCAGTAGGGTTGAAAAAATAAGCAAGCAGGGGTTATATAAAAACCAAACACTTCATATAATTGGAGTATATGATTATGAGTAATTGACAATTTTGAGTAAACTAACCTTAATGAGGCAGGCAGTACTAACGAGCTGTTTGGGGTCAACAACATCCACTAGTGGCTCCTTAATGGCCACTTCCTTGATACAGGACATATCAAAGCCATAAACATTCTCCCACCCTGAAAATGCAAACAAAACAAAATAAATGAAATGGTGTCTTATTTCAGACACAGCTGAAAAGGCCTCAAATGCATTCAGAGATTGACACGTACAGTGAATTTTGTAGTCCTTGTACTGTCGGTCCTCAATAGCAGTGACATAGAGCGTGGCTCTGTCAGGGAAAATCAGGCCATCAGGTTTCTAAAAAAGAAAAACAAATAGGCAACATGAACATTAATCATATTATGGTCAGCATGCACAATTTTTATAGTGAACAGCTTCAACACTCCAACACTTTAAAAGGACATTAGCATACACCCACCAGCCATTTGTCTCTTGCATAAATGACAGTGTTAAGCATGGATTCGTAGAAGAGACAGTAGCCCATCCACTCAGAGATGATTATGTCTACATTTTCCACGGGAAGCTCAACCTCTTCCACTTTGCCTTTAATGATGGTAACGACTGGACAGGGAAAATTAGGTTAAGGACTTGAGGTACATAACTCACGATACAGTAAGTTTAGCTCAAAAGATCGTCACAAATGTGCTGTGCATATGAGGTGTGAGAAAAATAAGTCAGTCAAGAGCTATAAGTTCTTACTATGATCCAACTTGTTGGCCTTCACAATCTTCACAGCATAGTCTGATATACTGCTGCACTCAATCTGGGGAACGAATGACAAAAGAATGCAAAATCAGACAAAAGCACAGCATGAGCACCTTTACAGGATGGGCAAGAACCCCATTTAACTAAACTAGTCAGTATCCATAACAAAAACTCAACTGCTGAAAACAATGAGGTGACATTTACATAAACCGGTAGGATTTACTGGGGAAAAAAAGACAAAAAAAAAAAAAAAAAAAGTAAAATCTGAGAAAAGCACAGCATGATCACCTACCCATCACCTTGACAGGACGGGCAAGAGCCTCATTCAACTAAACCAGTCAGTATCCACAACAAAAACTCGGCTGTTGAAAACAATGAGGTGACATTTACATAAACAGGTAGGATTTACACTCACCCCAATAACTTTCTTGGCTCCAGCTTTGGCTGCAAACATACAAAGGATGCCAGTTCCACTTCCCACATCCAGCACCACCTTATCCTTGAAGAGATGCTTGTTGTGGAACATGGAGTTTCTGTACGTCAGAGTACGAACTTCATCCTTTAGCATCTCCTGTGGACACAGAATGGGTTTACATTGATCACAGATATGAATGTGTAATTGTACCACTATTCATGAAACATGATGGACCAATAAGACTGTACCTCATGAATACCAAAGTGTGCATAGGAATCAAAGTAGTAGTCTTTGGAGGTCATGTCTTCTGCTGCAGGTTTTGCTGAACTCTCTCCCTGGGACACCTATTTAAAAGAAAAAATCAAATTATACACTATGAAACAAAGTATAAGATTTTAGGATTAAGATTAGGCAGTGTCTTTTGTATGTTAAATACAATTTTAAAAAGTTATCAAGAGAAGACAAAAACCCAGCTAGACAAGGTGGTCAATAAATCTGTTTTGTTGCTAATTGTGAGGAATTCTGTACAATGCTTCAACATTTTGTGGTGTCTCTTAAACGATTTGTATATGCGCAAATTTTAAAGGGGTCATATGATGCTTTTTTAAAGATCATTATTTTGTGTATTTGGTGTAACAGAATATGTTGACATGATTTAATGTTCAAAAAACACATTATTTTTCAAATACTGTACATTATTGTAGGTCCTCTATGCCCCGCCTCTCTCAAACGCTTCGTTTTCTACAAAGTCCCTCCTTCCGACAAGTGCAGTCTGCTCTGATTGGCCAGCTGACCCAGTGCATTGTGATTGGCCGAACACCACAAGCACTTGTCGGAAATGTAAC